TGGACAAATGGTTAGACCGGTTGTAGCCGATCTACGAGAAGCTCAATACGAGGCCACTGGAATTGGCAGTTCTTACCTCTTCCGCATTGATTTAGATACAATTATTGATGCGACAAAATGCGGCAATTTGGCGAGGTTTATAAATCACAGTTGTAATGTAAGTCACTTAAAATTATCTATTTCTTTCATCTTGACTAGCTTCAATATAATAAATATATTGCGTGCGTGCGTCTGTGTGTAAAAAAAAAAAAGACAATTTTGAACATTAAAATAAAAAATTAAAATCTAAATTGACACAAATTCAACTTGATGATAAATTTTGATTTATAAAGCCTGTATTAGAAATTAAATTGTAATTTCAGTAATATATTTTATATTGTATTTATCAAATCTTTATTTCTTTTAGCCGAATTGTTATGCAAAAGTAATCACGATCGAAAGCCAAAAGAAGATCGTAATCTACAGTAAACAACCGATAGGAGTTAACGAAGAAATTACTTATGATTATAAATTCCCATTGGAAGATGACAAAATCCCTTGCCTTTGCGGAGCTCCTCAATGCCGTGGTACCCTCAACTGAACTGTTCATTCTTTTTCCCGTCTTCTATATACTTCATCGTGCCCTACTCATATTTTTGTAAATATTTCCCCATGTAAACATTTTATAAAAATGCAATGGAAAATGCTAAATTACGTTAAGATGCGTTCTTCCTGCTTTATTACGAGACCCTTCTGAGACCCAGAGTACGACTTTAGGAAAGTGAAATAAATGTTTGAATGATTACTACACCTAAAGATAAAATTATATTGCAATGTTTTATTTTATATTCCGTCATCGACTGCTAAACATGTTAACTGATACATAACATTAACGAAAATACAATTGAAATTGTATTTAGTGCAATTATATTTACAATTGTAAGCAGTGTAAATATTCTCTATATATTATATGCAGAGTGATTTTTAATTGTATGTCGATAATTTAGAGAGTGAATTTGAGCTGTAAAATGAGAGAAGAATGTTATATGAACGTAGGTTTAAGTTTTACTTTCCAAGTTATAATAAAAGCTGAAGAAATTTAAATCATACTGTTTCATCTAGAATAGCACGAGGTCTTACATGCCTCAACAGTGCAAAAAAATCTGTATTTCTGCTACGTTTTTCCGTGTGTATTTCTATCTTTAGACGACTTGCTTCGCGAAACGCGTCTCCTTGATTTATGGCTTCCGCTTTCAAACAGTAAATAGGAGGTCAAGATCACGTCTCAAATGAATGTCTTCATTTAATATGAAATTTAATAAATGAGAGCAATAGATTACCGTGCAAAGCCCACCGTGGAGCAAAATGCTCACACGAAATAAACTCGCGATAGAGTGTCAAGCGGATCTGCGCCGCAGCAGATTCTACACGGACGGAGTGCTACGGTAGGATGGAAGGGGAGGCTGGGCTGGGGAGGGGCAGAGACAAGGCAACTGGACAGTGCCGGACGGCAGCGGCGGTTGTTGGTACAATTGGGTTGGTAATAAAATGTCGATAGTTTCCGAAACATTCGAATGTATTCGATAGTAAAAACTATCGATAATATTCGATTCCTACCGTGTGGTATGTACTAATCAGAGACAGTGCAGGTACAAAAACAGATTCACTGTTTCTTGAGATTGTTTTTTTTATTTTAGATCGCTTCTTTAAAAAGTATAGATAAAATTTCGAATACATCGCGATACCGTGCAGGTTGCATTAAGTAATATTTTAGACGAATATATTGTTTCCCTTTAACGAGCGCTGAGATTTTTAGGACGTCTTGGCAGATGGTAAATTCTTGTACTCTTTGTTGATTGTTATGACTGTTGTAAGAGGTTATTCAAATTAATTACAAGTGATCCGTATTAATTCGTTATTATGGCAGATCGCCTGACGCAATTGCAAGACACCATAAACCAGGTAATAAAATATTTCTATTGTCTCGTACATTTCTTATCTTGATATTTTAATAAGCTCAATTGTCGATTTAGCAAGCAGAACACTTTTGCAATAGCGTTGGTATTCTACAACAATATTCTACGCCTAGTAAATTTCCTGGTTTTGATCGCATTGGTACCCCGCAACCACATCAATCTCAAGAAGGTTTTTACACGTTTCAGTAGTATTCATTGATAATATGATATTATACTTTAGTAGTAGACACAACAATTTTACGATTCTTTACTCACATAGATTATTTGTGTCCTAGGTTACTTTTTTCGTTACTCTTTTCATTATTTTTACAACTATAAAGAAATTAAGTGATTTTTACATATACTTCAATACTTTTACAAAGTATTTGTAAAGTTGTGATAAAAAGAAAATAGATTCTATTATTTAGCCAGGTACTCTTTGTGTTAACGAGAAGAAATGCACAGACACAAATGACCTAATTATATATATTTAGGATTAAATATACGTAAAGTATTCTAATGTAGGTGGCGAATGAAAATAAACAATTTAAAACGAGCATACACTGGATGAAATTTATCTATATTCTGAAGTGAAATTACATAGACATTTCGGCCCTAAATATGGCCATCCTCAGTGTACAAAAATTAATAAAAATTAATACATGTAAAAATAATGATAAGAATCGAAGAGAGTTATTATTAATTAAAATGTGTCCAAGTTGTGATTATTATAATTGTAAAATTTCTTAATTTGATAATGTCGAGACAAATGTTGGAGCCACATTATTCTTTATAAATATGTTGAAAGTAAAGTTAAGTGATTCATTGTAAGCCATTTAGTAATAAGTCATTGTATTCAAATATAGTACTTGTCAAATTGGAACGAAACGCTAATAAGACTCCTTTGCTTGTCAAAATATAATTTTCTGATCATGTCCTGACAAGAATCGGTCTTCAAAAAATAATTGTACACCATCCGTATGAAACTTGGAAAAGATTGACAACTATTAATGTATTTTATATTTGGTACCTATACATTGAGTAGTTCTCAGTTAATAATTTTCAGATAGTATTGTTTATATATTTAGCACGTTGATATAGTTGTCAATCTTTTCCAAGTTTCATACGGATGGTGTACAATTATTTTTTGAAGACCGATTCTTGTCAGGACATGATCGGGAAATTATATTGTGACAAGCAAAGGAGTCTTATTAGCGTTTCGTTCCAATTTGACAAGTACTACATTTAAATACAACTTAATACTAAATGCAATGAATCACTCGACTTCACTTTCAACATATTTATAAAGAAAGACATGGCGACAACTTGTAGTGTAATTGAAGAAAATGCCCGTGAAAGCTTCAAATGTGAAATTTTATATAATTATAATGACTAATATTCAATACTAAAAACCGTTATATTTATTATGTAAGAACATAACTATAGTACAAATACGAGGCCTATAACAGCTAGGACACTTGCGCGTAAAGCAAGATATCCGGGTTCGACTCCCGGCCGAGGTAATATTTTTCGCAATAAGAATAATTTTCCAGATTTAGATTAGATTTTCAGATTATTAGAGTTGCGTTTCAAGACGATTGTTCAGCACGCAATTTGAGGGGACTACGTATATTAGTTAATTTAATTTAATTCGTGATAGTACCGCGGTTGTTTATATGTAAGCGTTTAAAAGATCCAAAAGCTAGACTGTTATAGGCTTCGTATTTGTACAATGACTAACTTGTACAGATTTTAATAATAACAAACTCTCTTCGATTCTTATCTTTATTTTAATAATAATTCTTTTTGATTCTTATAATTATTGTTACAAGTATTAATTTTTATCGATTTTTGTATACTGAAGATGGCCATATTTAGGGCCGAAAAATCTATGTAACTTTATTTTAGAATATAGATAAATTTCACCAACACAATTCAGTGTGTGATATATGCTCGACCTTTTAAATTGTTTAAATGCTGATCATGAATCCTAATTTATATATACTGTTTTAGATTATGCTGCCTTATTTGCAAATCTCATTGCAAGGTGTGCCAAAGATATAGATACGTTAATAGAGAGTTTGCCAAGCGAAGAATCATCACAAGAGCTACAAGTAGCCAGTCTTAGTAGACTCGAACAGGAGAATCAACAGGCTGGTGAGCAACTGGAGGAAGTGGTGAGACAAGGCGAGACACTTCTTCAGCGAATTCAAGCGGCTCTGCAAGATATCGCGCAAAGTCAATTAGATATGCAGAATCCCATGTCGACGACTGTGATCAATATGAATCTTAGCAGTTCTAATATAAAACAAGAAAGCCTCAGTTCTATAAATACCGTGTCCTCAAATAATACACATCAACTATCAGATCCTTCACCTAATTCAATAAATCAATGACACATTTATGATTTATTGTAAACTGTTGTATTTATTGTTTGCTAGAGACTTATAATTTTAAAACATTTTGACAGTCTGAAAAATCAAGTCAGTATATGTATTATTTATATGAAAAATTGACGACTACACTGTTACTGTAATTACTAATTATAAAACATTTTATTATAAAAAATATTGATCAAGACAATAAATGGAACATTAATTTACAGTGTCATTATTTTAGTTGTATTTGTAATAAAAATATAAATTCGATAACATATTGAAATTAAAGCTTAAAACAATTTCTCAATCATCGAAAGAAAAATAGTTTTATTACAATAAACTTTTTAGATGATACATTGATCAAACTGTATTTATTTATATATTAAGCACTTTACAATGTATGTCAATTATGCGTAGTGTAGATGAAAGAAAGAAAACAAATAATGAAATTCTTTGAACTGCAATTCTTGGTGTTTTAATCTACGTTATATAATTCTCTTACTTAATAATATGTTTCTAACGACAATTTTTGAAATTCTTTATTTTTTCATTTTAAACATTCTAATTCAAAATTTCGATGTTAAATTCATGTATGTTCACACATAATTTATGCTCTTGACATACTGTGATTTATAAATGATTTAAATTAATGTGAATAGGTTGATGCTAATTTAAAAAATCATAAAAAATGTTGCGAGTGTTGAAATCTTATTACAAACTTTTAAAATCTTGTAATCATGACTTCTATTCGCTAACTCGACAATTAGGTTATAGGTAATTATATTAAATTTAATCAAGATTCTAAATAATATTAAATTGTTAATTGTATGTAAAAAAAAAACCAATACTTTTTTAAAGAAATGTATTCTAAATTAAATTTTTTAATTTATGAATTTATTATAAAATAATGAAATTTAATTTATAAGATTGTATAGATATAATGTAGTGTATTTTTTCTTCTCTTTTTTAATTACACACAAGATGCATTTTCATCAATTTATGTTGATTCACAACAATTATTTAGCTCAACTCAGAAAAAATCGGAAAATGATGATCAAATAAGAATGTGTATTGATAAACCAACAAAATGGCCGAGTGGAAAGAGGGTCAATTTTGATTTCCACGAAGAAACAGAAGCTGCAATAAATGAGCAAATAAATGTGGAGCTGATGGCATTTTATTATTATTTATCAATGGTACGATCCATTTTAACACATTTTCAACTTTAAATACAAGAAATTACACAAATCATAAATTTTTTCGATTACTACAATTACAAATTGCCCTTATTATAACATGTGTCCTTTTTGATTTGTATGTAAAATTAAATTTAATTGCTATCTTATGAGATGAGTTTATTATGCAGGCTACATATTTCGGTCGCGTAGACATCGCTTTACCCGGCTGCGAGTCATTCTTTATGCAAATGCATCATGAGGAGCATGAACATGCCTTGAAATTTATTAACTATGTAAAAATGCGAGGCGGAAAAGTACATTTGTGCGCTATATCGCCGCCGAATGATCAAGATTGGAAATGCCCATTGCATGCATTCAAAGTAAATTTGTTTTATACAATCAAGTCTGTTGCAATTTAAAATAATGTTATATTTTAAGAATACGATGTATCCCCTAAGAATTAATAGAAGTCTTCCATTTAGTATAAAAAGCTGTTAGGATCTATAAATCAATTCTTTTATCTATGTAAATTTTCTGTAGACGGCATTGCAGTTGGAAATCGAAGTTAGTAAAAAACTGGTTGCTGTAAATGCTATAACGGAGAAGCACGGTGATCTCAACGCGAGTGATTTCATTGTCACCGGTTTCATGGAAGATCAGATGAAAAGCGTTAACGAATTTGGAAGATTAACGACTGTGTTGTCGGGCGTTGGAGATCAAGCATTGGCGCGATTTCTATTCGATAAGGATCTACTTGAAAATTATGTCATGCCCAATTTCAATATTCTAAAAACTAAATCTCAGCGAAAGCAGTTTGATAAATAGATCCTCTTATAAAATTGTTTTTTTTTTTATAAATATACAATATTCCTGTACTGTATATATATATATAATCATTTTCATAATTGTAACTTTTTATAAAATTATCTGAGTGAAAAATTTACGTGTAAGGCATATGATGTTAAGGTGATGATGCTGGATCCGCCTGTATTATCGATAAAATTAGCGTTTTTGACGTTTTCGTTTCTGTATAATTTCTTCATAATATATAAATAGAAACTAATTAAAAGTCAAACATTAAAAATTTCTTTAATCACATAGTAAAAAGATAAAATAAATTAATATAAACTAACATGAAAAACAAGAACTTTTTTTATTTTTGTATTAAGTTCGTTCTTTCATATTTATGTATATCTTTATATCTTCGTATTCTGTCTTGTTTTTCATGTTAATTCATATTAATTTATTTTATCTTTTTACTATGTGATTAAAGAAATTTTTAATGTTTGAATATTAATTTATCTTTTTAGTTTCTATTCATGTTTGAGAATAAGAGTCCTTTACTTATTTATTATTATTCTTCATAATAGTTTTGCAGAATAAAAATTTTTACGATTTAAATATTCATGCTAACACAGTATCCGAGACTGGACTGAAATGTATTAAAATGGATTCAAATTTTCAGAAATACACGGATTCATGAATGTTAAAATGAATCTTTTTCAATCCGAATACGTTTTTATTCATTTATAGGAATCGCATGGAGCATATCTGTATACTTTTCCAACCGAATACGTTTTTATTCATTTATAGGAATTGCATGGACCATATCTGTATACTTTTCAATCATAAAATAATATTAGCTTTTTCAGTGCGTTTGTGACCCCATAGTGAATACTGTTCAATTCATAGTTATGAATAAGAAACGCAGTTTTTCAATCCAATTGTATCCAAAAAAGAAACAAACGTTTATTAGAAAGAAAAAAACGATTATTAAAAAGAAACAAACGTTTATTAAAAAGGAGCAAACGTTTATTAAACAGAAACAAACGTTTATTAAAAAGAAACAAACGTTTATTAAAAAGAAACAAACGGAAAAAGAATCAAACGTTTATTAAAAAGAAACAAACGTTTATTAAAAAGGAAACAAACGTTTATTAAAAGGAAACAAACGTTTATTAAAAGGAAACAAACGTTTATTATAAAGAAACAATCTATCGAATGTGACGAGAAAAACTGATGTTGGATTTCGAAGCGAAAAGTCGAAAATCGGTTCCAAATTTGTAGGTTAGAAATGCGTATCTCGGCATTTTCTATCGAATGGCAGTACCGAGAAAAAACCGATTTTCGACTTCGAGGTGAAAAGTCGAAAATCGGTACCAAATTTGTAGGTTAGAAATGCGTATATCGGCGTTCTCTATCGAATGGTAGTGACGAGAAATAACCGATGTTGGATTTCGAGGTGAAGAGTCGAAAATCGACACCAAATTTGTAGGTTAGAAATGCGTATCTCGGCATTCCCTATCGAATGGTGGTAACGAGAAAAAACCGATTTTCGACTACGAAGTGAAAAGTCGAAAATGGATACCAAATTTGTAGGTTAGAAATGCGTATCTCGGCGTTCTCTATCGAATGGTGGTAACGAGAAAAAACCGATTTTCGACTTCGAAGTGAAAAGTCGAAAATCGATTCCAAATTTGTAGATTAGAAATGCGTATCTCGGCGTTCTCTATCGAATGGTAGTACCGAGAAAAAACCGATTTTCGACTTCAGAAAATCGATACCAAATTTGTAGGTTAGAAAAAAGTCGAAAATGGGTACCAAATTTGAAGGTTAAAAATGCGTATCTCGACATTCTCTATCGAATGGTAGTATCGAGAAAAAACCGATTTTCGACTTCCAAATTTGTAGGTTAGGAAAAAGTCGAAAATCGATCCCAAATTTGTGGGTTAGAAACGCGTTTCTCGACATTCTCTATCGAATGGTGGTAGCGGGAAAAAACCGATTTTCGACTTCCAAATTTGTAGGTTAGGAAAAAGTCGAAAATCGATCCCAAATTTGTGGGTTAGAAACGCGTTTCTCGACATTCTCTATCGAATGGTGGTAGCGGGAAAAAACCGATTTTCGACTTCCAAATTTGTAGGTTAGGAAAAAGTCGAAAATCGATCCCAAATTTGTGGGTTAGAAACGCGTTTCTCGACATTCTCTATCGAATGGTGGTAGCGGGAAAAAACCGATTTTCGACTTCCAAATTTGTAGGTTAGGAAAAAGTCGAAAATCGATCCCAAATTTGTGGGTTAGAAACGCGTTTCTCGACATTCTCTATCGAATGGTGGTAGCGGGAAAAAACCGATTTTCGACTTCCAAATTTGTAGGTTAGGAAAAAGTCGAAAATCGATCCCAAATTTGTGGGTTAGAAACGCGTTTCTCGACATTCTCTATCGAATGGTGGTAGCGGGAAAAAACCGATTTTCGACTTCCAAATTTGTAGGTTAGGAAAAAGTCGAAAATCGATCCCAAATTTGTGGGTTAGAAACGCGTTTCTCGACATTCTCTATCGAATGGTGGTAGCGGGAAAAAACCGATTTTCGACTTCCAAATTTGTAGGTTAGGAAAAAGTCGAAAATCGATCCCAAATTTGTGGGTTAGAAACGCGTTTCTCGACATTCTCTATCGAATGGTGGTAGCGGGAAAAAACCGATTTTCGACTTCCAAATTTGTAGGTTAGGAAAAAGTCGAAAATCGATCCCAAATTTGTGGGTTAGAAACGCGTTTCTCGACATTCTCTATCGAATGGTGGTAGCGGGAAAAAACCGATTTTCGACTTCCAAATTTGTAGGTTAGGAAAAAGTCGAAAATCGATCCCAAATTTGTGGGTTAGAAACGCGTTTCTCGACATTCTCTATCGAATGGTGGTAGCGGGAAAAAACCGATTTTCGACTTCCAAATTTGTAGGTTAGGAAAAAGTCGAAAATCGATCCCAAATTTGTGGGTTAGAAACGCGTTTCTCGACATTCTCTATCGAATGGTGGTAGCGGGAAAAAACCGATTTTCGACTTCCAAATTTGTAGGTTAGGAAAAAGTCGAAAATCGATCCCAAATTTGTGGGTTAGAAACGCGTTTCTCGACATTCTCTATCGAATGGTGGTAGCGGGAAAAAACCGATTTTCGACTTCCAAATTTGTAGGTTAGGAAAAAGTCGAAAATCGATCCCAAATTTGTGGGTTAGAAACGCGTTTCTCGACATTCTCTATCGAATGGTGGTAGCGGGAAAAAACCGATTTTCGACTTCCAAATTTGTAGGTTAGGAAAAAGTCGAAAATCGATCCCAAATTTGTGGGTTAGAAACGCGTTTCTCGACATTCTCTATCGAATGGTGGTAGCGGGAAAAAACCGATTTTCGACTTCCAAATTTGTAGGTTAGGAAAAAGTCGAAAATCGATTCCAAATTTGTGGGTTAGAAACGCGTTTCTCGACATTCTCTATCGAATGGTGGTAGCGGGAAAAAACCGATTTTCGACTTCCAAATTTGTAGGTTAGGAAAAAGTCGAAAATCGATCCCAAATTTGTGGGTTAGAAACGCGTTTCTCGACATTCTCTATCGAATGGTGGTAGCGGGAAAAAACCGATTTTCGACTTCCAAATTTGTAGGTTAGGAAAAAGTCGAAAATCGATCCCAAATTTGTGGGTTAGAAACGCGTTTCTCGACATTCTCTATCGAATGGTGGTAGCGGGAAAAAACCGATTTTCGACTTCCAAATTTGTAGGTTAGGAAAAAGTCGAAAATCGATCCCAAATTTGTGGGTTAGAAACGCGTTTCTCGACATTCTCTATCGAATGGTGGTAGCGGGAAAAAACCGATTTTCGACTTCCAAATTTGTAGGTTAGGAAAAAGTCGAAAATCGATTCCAAATTTGTGGGTTAGAAACGCGTTTCTCGACATTCTCTATCGAATGGTGGTAGCGGGAAAAAACCGATTTTCGACTTCCAAATTTGTAGGTTAGGAAAAAGTCGAAAATCGATCCCAAATTTGTGGGTTAGAAACGCGTTTCTCGACATTCTCTATCGAATGGTGGTAGCGGGAAAAAACCGATTTTCGACTTCCAAATTTGTAGGTTAGGAAAAAGTCGAAAATCGATCCCAAATTTGTGGGTTAGAAACGCGTTTCTCGACATTCTCTATCGAATGGTGGTACCGGGAAAAAACCGATTTTGACTTCCAAATTTGTAGGTTAGGAAAAAGTCGAAAATCGATCCCAAATTTGTGGGTTAGAAACGCGTTTCTTGACATTCTCTATCGAATGGTGGTAGCGGGAAAAAACCGATTATCGATTTCGAAGTGAAAAGTCGAAAATCGATTCCAAATTTGTAGGTTAGAAATGCGTATCTCGGCGTTCTCTATCGAATGGTGGTAACGAGAAAAAACCGATTTTCGACTTCAGTAAAGTCGAAAATCGATACCAAATTTGTAGGTTAGAAAAAAGTCGAAAATGGGTACCAAATTTGAAGGTTAGAAATGCGTTTCTCGACATTCTCTATCGAATGGTAGTATCGAGAAAAAACCGATTTTCGACTTCGAAGTGAAAAGTCGAAAATCGATTCCAAATTTGTAGGTTAGAAATGCGTATATCGGCGTTCTCTATCGAATGGTGGTTACGAGAAAAAACCGATTTCGACTTCGAAGTGAAAAGTCGAAAAACGATTCCAAATTTGTAGGTTAGAAATGCGTATCTCGGCGTTCTCTATCGAATGGTGGTAACGAGAAAAAACCGATTTTGGTTTTTGGGACATAATGGGTCATTTTGCGTTTCTTCTTTAGCAATTTTGCTTTTTGTGGCAAAACGGGACATTTTTGGCGTTTTTTGGAGCAATTTTAATTTTTGGGGAAAAACGGGTCACCTTTTGCGTTTTTTTGGAACTATTTTGCTTTTTGGGACAAAATGGGTAACTTTGTTTTTTTTTCGTTCATTTATGCGTTTTGTGACAAAATCGGTTATTTTGCGTTTTTTTGAGGAGCAATTTTGCTTTTTGGGGCATAATGGGTTA